ATGATAATGATAACGATAATAACAATAATAATAATAATAATAATAATGATAATAATAATAAAAATAATAATTAATAATATTAATAATAATAATAATAATAATAGAAACGATGTTCTAATTAATTTCGCGCTTCAAATTTGTGACATTGTTGGTTGCCATCTTGACAACGGCCACGTAGCATGAACAATCGTATAATTTCAAATATTTTGTTTACTAATTTCAATGAACCTTTGCGTTTTTATTTCGTTACTTTTATTTTATTTTAATATATTAAAAAATACAACTAATTAACTATTAATAGAATTTATTTAAAATATATATTGCACTGATGATGACTTTACGTCGAAATAGATCTATATGCATAACTTTAATAATAATATAAAAAAAAAAAAAATAAACGATTATAAAATGGGATCTTGCTTGATTAATTTTAACAATTAAAATCATAAACGATTATAAAATGGATTTCAACATTTTGAATAGACTTAATTGTAAAGAACTAGTTCAAAATATTAGAAAATCAACCATAAAACTTGTTAATGCTGAATCGTCGGTGGATTTTTTGAACAAATATATATATATATATATATATATATATATATATATATATAGATATGTGTGTGTGTGTGTGTGTCTGTTCTGACATTTTATATCTATATGCAAAAACGGCAAACCTGATAATAAAGAATAATTGCAAATTGCACGCTTCCCTTAAAATTAATCCTGAAAAAAAATCACTTAGTATATAAGTTAAATGCCCTCTTGACGAATGCATTTTTCAGCAACAATCAAATATTGGGTTGACAACTACATCCCTATCATGTCGTCTTACTCTGCACAAAAGAAGAGCCATTAGAACTCATCAAACAATCCCATTACGAAAGATATTAGCCAACAATGCTAGTATAGTATACAGTAACATAAAATCATACCTATCTAAGAATTGCGGAAACAATTTTCATTGACCGAAGACAACCCTAAATTAACAAGCAGCAAAGAAAAGCAACATCATTATCAACCAGAAAAACATTACTGAAAGACTTTACAAGCAAAGAAAATGAACAGAACAAAGATGTAATAAACGGACAAGACAAAGAATGAACGCTCAGTGCACCCAGAGAGAATAGTAAAATTTTGAAATATCCCGATATAAGCGGTAATGATGAGTAAAATCGAAATAGGACTTATACAATTCTTCATAAACACCAATGATTTTTTTTATTTACTTCAATAAGTTAATTATAAAATTTCTGTTTAAAATATTGAAAAGCTCAACCGTAAACTTTCAAAAGCTAAAATCGGTAGTTTGATTAAATATTGCATCAATTATGGTCTTCTTCCAGCCTTTATATATTAACAATTTATAATTATATATGTATAGTGTATATATATATATACAATCATATAATTATACAATTATATGAAATATATATATATATATATATATATATATATATATATATATATATATACATAATTTGGTACGTGATTTTCAGAGACATGTTCGATTAAAAATAATACCCCAATTTGTAGTTATTTGCTTTTTAAATAAGACTTCAACATGACGTAATTTATCAGACTCATATTTGGCTCGTGATTTG